TGGAAAGCCTGGTGTGAGCAGGATGTTTGATCTTCCGCAGAGTGCTCTCCTTGCAGGTAATAATGTTCATTTCATCATCATCTTTGATTAAATATTTTCCTTCCCCCTGAACTTGGGAGTCTAAATAAAAGGTCTAAACATGGGAGCTTAGTTACAGGTGGGATTATAGAGCTATGTGTTTACAAAACAAAAAACCAACCAGGAGACCAGCAGTTCTTTGAATAAGGAGTAGGATAAGAGTGGTGCTGGCTATGATCTAAAACAGCGCAGGCAAAATGGTCAGGCCGACTGTAAGCATCTGGCAAATCCAAGGAACGTGCACTGGAGACGCAGCCACAAGGTAGGGAAATGTCCACTGTTTCAGAATCCAAACAAAAAGATGCCAACACCAAGGAGGCTACACTACATGGTAGGAAGTCTCATTTCCAAGAGATTTGAGCAAAGGGTCCTTGACCCTGCAGGGTTTTGACTGTATAGACTAGAAAAGATGCAGCCCAAGAATGATTCAGGACTTCAGCAGTGAGAACTTGGCATAGGACCCATGAAATAATGACGAAGAGCACAGGCTGGTGCCAGTCAACATCCTCTTTATCCATAGAAGGTAAAAAGGCCAATGTTGTGGACAGATAGGTCACTGTGGCCCCAGATTTACTAGTCATGGAGGGTCAGGGGCACACTGCCATTTTCAGTCATGTAATGGGGAAATGTATGCAGTTCACAGGGACTGCCCTGTCACGGCCCTCTTTGGAAAAGCTAGTGGAAAATTCCAGGTATAAAGTCACTTGTTACCTTGCTACTCTGAATCAGAGATGGACACATTTCAAAGGCAATAAATCCTGGTGGTGGAAACCTATCTGAAGTCTAGCATGAGCACCTTGCCAACTGGGGTGCTTCCTTTTGTTGGCAATGCCTACCACTAGATATACTCATTACTGGAATTTGAACAAGATGTATGTATATGAACAAAAAAAAAGCATTGGTGGGGTGAATGTGGAGACCTACAGATAGGATAGCAATAACTAACATTTTCTGATGACTTACCAAACGCCGGGCCCTCTTCTGAATGCCTTCTAAGCTTTAACCCATTTAACCCTCAGACCTATACTATGAGGTGCTTTCTATTTTCAGAGGAG